GAGCTGATGTGTGGCCTGCGTGTAATGACTGGGTCATTTGTTGCGTAGCAGGACTTCTGACCGTCATTGTTGGCACTCTGGTCGTTGCATTCAGGGTGTGTGCATCTAGTTGCGCTATTCCACAGGCATGATCGGCCACGACCCAACACTTGTCGTGACAGTCCCCGTGGCTACAAGCATTCGCATGAGGACCCCGACGATTCAGAACCTCATGAGGGGGAGAACAAGCGGCCACGGACACTTGAGCATGTTGCCTGCACCAGCCAAACTACGCAACCAGACCAACCCTCACAATCAACCAACCAACAACCACCTGCCCCCAACCAAAACCAAGCCAATTTATCTAGCCCGGTCGAGCTAGAATCAACATCTTGAGGCGTCTCTCCAAAAGATACTAACCGAGGAGAGGATGGAAGTCCTGATGATGTTACCTCCGGTACATCTTTGATATCAGGCCATCAGTCAACATCCCGAGGCGTACCCCCAAAAGGTACTAATCGAGGAGGGGATGGAAGTCCTGAGGATGCTATCTTAGATACATCTATTGCTTCAGGTCATCAGCCAGAACCTAGTTCAAAGCTGATGACAACGGGCACTCCGAGTGAACCCGGTCTTGCTTCTCTAGGAAAATCACCAATTCAATCACAACAACAAGCTCCTTCTATTACTCCACCCGAGGACATCCATGATCTGCTGGAAGATGCTGTGATACACGATAAATGGCCCCGGAAATGGACAGAGTGGGATACTCTGAGATGCGAAGCCGAGACAGAGGATATGCAAAGAAACTGGTGGCTTCGTGAACTACTGGCCAAGTGTGGTGAGGACATCATACGCCTTGATGAAGAGGAACTCAAAGAAGGGGAAGACTACAAGAACACTCCCAAGGAGCTTGAATCAATCATCAGGCAATCAGCGGGTCAAATGCCCACAACTTAGAAGCCTTGAGAGAACGTACGAATCAATGCCCCCTTCCAAGAGGAAATCAGAAAGGGAATCTGGAGACAACCGGGGAAACTCAAGGCACTTGATGAACTGAAGATCCGAGGGCTCACCCACTTGAAAGGAAAATTTGTAGGTGGACATCTGCACATGCTGCACCACAGATCTTCAGGAAAACAAAGAGAGATCCTTGAAAAGGACTTAAAAAGCAGCATACATCTGATTTGCAGTATTCTCAATATGCATGAAGAAGATCACCACGGTATCAAATTCTACAGCTACAAGGTGCAGCGCACAGACTCAAGCGAATTTATCTGCCAAGAGAATGACTTCATCATGATGAAAATGGATGATATCTACCACATGTTCATGGCCTGCAGATTTCTTCCAATAAATCGCAACAGAATCTGCAAGGAAGGATTTGATGCAATCAAAATATTTATGCTAAGGCAAGTCAGATTCTACTCCACTCATGATCTACAAATGGCGCTCGAGAACCATGTTCGGAAGGCAAATCTCACAAGGCCAATTCTATATGGAGCAGAGCTTGAAGAATATCAACCTTACCACATTTTTAAGGACCCACTCTCAATCTTATATCTCAATCATAAAGAGCAAAAGCGCCTGATGTGGGTAGAAGACATTCACAAATATTGTGACGGGACGTTAAAAGTCATTCAAAAGAAGTTGCTGCCTCTCAAAGAAAATCTTGACCGAAGACTTGCTGATGCTACTGATGAAGAGCTGGAAGAATTCGACGGATTGGAGACAATCCTGCAGCCCATCATCAAACAGCTTGATAAGAGAAGATCATTGAGACAGTATGAGCATGCGCTAAACATAAGAAAACACTACTTCAAAGCTCAGAGATGAAACAAGACGGCACTTGATCACAAAGGGGGAGATTGTTAGAGAATATTTTATTGTGTATCAAGTTTGTCAAAAGTCTTGTAATAGCTTAGCCTTTATTATACCTTGTGTATTTATACTTTGTATTTATTAGGGTATAAAGGATATGGGGCCCAAGTGTTTGGCCCATATACCTGGCGTAAAGCCTGTACGCAAACCTACCTGCGCATTTAAAAAGGCGCTTAAGGATTAGGTTTGCGTTAACTTTTGCATTCGATCTTTACAGCCACAGACCTTATCATTCTTACTGTAGAAGTTCACGATATATCAAAGACGAGTTTAAGGATCTCCAGAGTATTTATCTTTCTGTTATTCTCATCTTTGTGTATCGATATATTGTTATAATCTATAAAAAGGGATAAACAATATGTTTCCAATAGGACTAATATGGTCCTATTTTGAAAAGAAAAACATAGTGAGTCCTATTTTAAGTTTTTGTCATAGTTTTAGTCCTATTTGGAGTAATTTCTAAATGTATATTCAATACCTGAGAATGATCGAGAAATACAAAGCAAGGTATCAGAATACAAAATTGCGACTCTCTCTCACTACAATGATATGTGCGCTGATATTTCCGTGTATATTCTATGTGAGACTTACTGCACATTCCCTCTAAGGTAGTATTTATATGCCTAGGGAATGTGTTGATGTGACCTAAGTATGATTGGGCTCCTTTATTAAGGTGGCCAAATTCCATACTTCACGGCCTTTTCTAATAATATTTACACAAATACAAAGATATATAACTAGATTGGACATCATAAAAGTTCCAACAAGTACACATTAATATACACACTTTATACACCCAAATTCAACATTTAATAGACATAACAATGTATTTAAAAACTCTCATATTTAAGAAAATCTTATTAGATATACCACACTTAACAAAATAAAAATATTATATTTAAAAAAAACTCAAAATATTACATTAAAATTCACATTACACAACAAGTCCACAACAAAATCAAAATATTACATTGAATTCAACATTAAAATTCAACATTTCATACATATCCACATTTCACTACAAATCAATTTACAAATCAATTCCTAATTTAAAATTTTGAAATTTATACATTCTAAACCCTAACATGAAATATGAGATGAAATGGAGATTGATTTACCTAGAGGAAAGAGTGTTGAAGAAGATGGAGGTGGAGTATCCTTGGCAATGTGGAGGGATGTCGCCGTTGATGCACTCGCCGGAGTTGGAGCCGCTGCTTCGAAATCGCAGCAGTTTGGGGCTTCTGCTAAATCCCGTTCTGTCTGCCGAAGGTTGGGCGACCGATCTGTTTTGAAGAAAAAGTTGCCAAATCGTTTGGCGACTTATAAATCGCCAAACGTGATGGCGACTTATAAGTCACCACACGGGTGGTGACTTATAAGTCACCAAAGGGTTTGACAACTTTCCCCAACCCAGGTTAAACGCAATAGTATATCCGTAATAAGTTTTAACCCAACATTATTTCGGTAAATAATTATTTAATTCGCATTAATTCAGAAAAAAACTCGTAGATAGGTTTGACCAATCAAATCATTTTCTAAAAATTGAAACCCCAAACTTGGACCTCTTTCCTCCGAGTCTGGTATCAACCTCGGTCCGGACTTCGGAATCTTTTTTCCGGTCCTGGTCACGGTTATCAGGCCGGTCTGATTTCGAGACTCTATAGACCTTATTCCTATTTCGTGACTGGGACAACAGCACAACTCTTAAACATAATGGGATGGGCGTACAATTTAGCAATTGAAGATCCAATGAAATCGCCGCTTTAACTTTTGTCAAGTTCTTCAAGATGTAACCTAGCCCCTAGGAAATGTTTTTTGTTCTATATTTTCTTTTCTTTAGTACTACGGAGTATCATTTTATATAATTCCCATGTCCTATTATAATTTACCAATTTTTCATTTTATGTTTGTCTCACTAAATTTATTTTATATGTAGTATTATACTTGATAACATTTGTGTGATTCTAATTCATTCTTATTTTACTATCAATTTTCAATTCATTATCAATCACATAACTTTACTTTTTTTTAAAATCTCACATCTCTATTTTGTTCCAATCGTAGAGGGACATAGGTAGAATCTTGTTTTGGTTTGATACAATTATAAATATAGCGATTGAAAAAATAAAATTGTATTTGAGATATTATAATAAAGTGAAATGTTGTTGGTTACACATTTCTTTCCAAAAGTAGGAAATGTTATAAAAGAATGATGCATGGTACCAAACATTATTGTAGTTCCAATAGACAAATGCTTTAAATCAAGATTGTTGAATCATTTCACAAATATAGGTTTAGACACATTTTTGCACACTTTTTTGAATATATCCTAGTTCATCGATGCTTCATTTGTGTACACAATCAATTCATATAAAAGTTGCAAATTTGTCAATGCACACATGTAAATATGTGAAAGGTATACAAAAATTAGGATTGTAAACGAATCGAACCGAATTCTTGACAATATTGTTTGTATTCGTATTATTATTGTATTTGTATTCATATTCTCCCAATCCACATTTATGCCCGGACTATTTATTTGGAAAAACTGTCAACTTGATCCTCATTGTAACACCCGCCCCGTAGGGCCCGAGATAGTTACGCCTTTTCCGCGCACTTTGTACTCACTCGTGAGTGCCCTGAAAAACTTCTCAAGGTTCACCCATCTCAATACTACTCCCGTGCAAGCACGCTTAACTTTGAAGTTCTTAGCTGATGAGCTCCCTTAAAAGGAGATGCACCTTGTTGGTATGAGTAATACTATTAATCCTTTAAAATTAATTTCAAGTGTTAGACTCGTACTTTTATGAAAAAGTCAATTAGATCCTCGTACTTTTAAAAAGATCAATCAAATCATTGAACTTTGTAAAAACGTTCAATTGAGTCTATTGTAGGTCACACGCCGACGTGGCGCACATGTGACAGCCCAATCAGCAATAATTTTGTTGACGTGACACACATGTGGAAATCCAATCAGCTATTTGACGATGATGCAGTGCACACGTGGACCACCATTTGTGCGCCACGTCAGCGGCCGACATGCTGACATGACAAGTAACTACTCAATTTTCCCATAATAAACGCTGAACTTCGATTTCTCCTTCGACATACCCAAAAGTTTCTGAAATTGGACAAAAACCCCTTAAAGGTTTTCCTTGAAAATGAGACTAAACAATAAGGAGTATGGAAGAAGCAAGGGGTTAGACGTTAGTGCACCGGAAAAGTGAAAACGACGGAGTCTCGAAGTGGTGGACAATGCTTCTTCCGCTACTTCTGCTCTTGTCTCTTACAGCCGCTGCAGATCAATCCACCGACCGCGCTGCCTTGCTGGCATTCCGCTCCGCCGTGGGCGGGCGGCGCACTGTCGTATGGAACACTACAGACGCCGCCCTTCACTGCAACTGGCCCGGAGTTCAATGCGAAAATGGCCGAGTCACCGTTCTCCGCCTCCCGGGGTTTTCTCTCACCGGCTCCATCCCGCCTCACACGCTCTCCAACCTCACACGCCTACGTGCACTCAGCCTCCGTCTCAACCACCTTTCCGGTCCGCTACCGGCGGACCTCTCCCAATGTGTCGAGCTCCAGAACCTTTATCTCCAAGGAAACCATATCTCAGGTTCCTTTCCCGATTCCTTTTTCGACCTTCACTCCCTGGTCCGCGTCAATCTCGCTAACAACAACTTTTCCGGTAGCATTCCTTCGCGGTTCGACAATTTGACCCGTTTGCGGACCCTTTTTCTGGAAAACAACCACTTCTCAGGCTCCTTACCGGAGCTAACTAACCTTAAACTCCGAGAGTTCAATGTTTCGTTTAACTACTTAAACGGGTCTATCCCAAAGAGTCTAGAATCATTCCCCCCGGAGGGTTTTACCGGAAATTCACTCTGCGGGAACCCTCTCGCTCTTTGTCCGGGTGGAAAAACTTCACCGGCCATAGCAACCGGCTGGATAACACTTGGCAATTCTAAGAAACTATCCGGTGGAGCAATTGCAGGGATTGTGATCGGATCTTCAGTCGGATCTCTACTTGTTTGCATAATCCTCTTCGTCCTGTGCAGAAAGAGAGCACGATCAGTAGATGGTTCTGCCATAAAGCATCCTGAAACTGGAGAGAAAGAAAGGGAAAATGCATACTCAGTGGCTCCTGCAGAAATGGAAGGGCATGGAAAAGGAGGAGAGAGTAGTATGGGTGGAGGTGAGACCAGGGTTAAGAAGCTAGTTTTCTTCAAGGGTGCTTCAAGTGTGTTTGATTTGGAGGATCTTCTGAGAGCTTCTGCTGAGGTTTTGGGAAAGGGATCGTTTGGGACAGCGTATAAGGCGGTTCTTGAGATGGGGACTATTGTGGCGGTGAAGAGGCTGAAGGATGTGATGATACCTGAGGGAGAATTCAGGGAGAAAATAAGGGTGGTTGGTGACATGAACCACCAGCATTTGGTGCCTCTGAAGGCTTATTACTATAGCCGAGAAGAAAAGCTACTTGTTTATGATTATATGCCCATGGGAAGCTTGTCTGCATTGCTTCATGGTAATTGATCTTCTTTCCAATTCTCCATCTCTCTCTTTTTGATAAACTCCATTTTAATGGTACAAGATTAAAGTTCTTTTGGTTAGGGTGATTCAGCTGTTATGGCTGGTTGAACTTTCTGAACAGAGAAGCAACCAGGTTTCGTCAAAAGCTTACTGGTTCTGACTATTTTGTTGATGACCAGAATAAGTCTCATTTGTTTGGCTACTAAACTTGCCCTTCGCCTTTTGGTGAATTCTGATTGTCTTTTCATATTTGAGTTCCTCAGTATATTACCATATTTAAATGTGATTGATTCATTGTGTGTACTTGTTCAAGAAAAGAGTGGGAAACGTAGGATGATTTTGAAGTTGGCTGCTATAAAGGGTGGCTTATGCACTTTTGGATCCACATTTGGGCCAAACTCATGCTTACCAACTATAAATGTTAAAAGTGTGATGTGTTTATAATTGCAGTTATGGACAAGAACTTGGGTTCTTCTTCTTCTTGGCTTGACATGCCTTTTATTTGTTTAATGAGAGAATTCCCTAAATAGGAGTGAAAGAGTTTTAAAATTTCAAAATAGTAGTATCATGTTTTTTATTCTCTGGATAGGAGTAAATTTATGCCAAGTTTGGCATTACTAGCCAACAAAACATGACATTTTTTTCCAAACTTGGCAGATTACTCCTATTCAGGGAATAAAAAACATGATATTCCTATTTTGGAATTTCAAAACGTTTTTGCTCCTATTTAGAGCAATTTCTATTGTTTCTTCTATTATGAGTTTCTCTCTCTGTGCGTTTTCATACTTCAATAGTTTAGTTGTTTTTTATGCAGATAGACAAGCCGCAATGTTAGCTTCTTAGCAGTCCGGTGCTTAACTATTGAGTTAACACAATTTTTTTTAATTGATGCAAAAGAGTTAATACCCCATACAGTCCTTAACTATTCTTTCAATGCCTTGGTGCAGTCCTTAACTTTCAATATTGACCACATTTCTACCTTGGCTACTATGATCCTTCCAGAATTTATCATGCAACAATAGATTTTTATTATTTTCCATTTTACCATCATTATTGATAGAGAACTGACTGAGTAGTTCATGGACAAAATCTGGAAAGAACACAAACATCAAAGTAGACATGTCATCAAATGAAATTGAAACGCAAGGACTGTGGAATCAACTATATACTTGAGGACTAAATATATGGTATTAACTCTTTAGATATTCCCGTTTCCCTTGACGTCTTTGATAACTTATTTATCCAATTAAGCTTTATGTATGATTCGTGTGATTTCTCTCACACAGGCAAGGGTGCAGGCCGGACACCACTGAATTGGGAAATGAGATTGGGCATTGCCCTTGGTGCTGCCCGAGGCATAGAATACTTGCACACCCAAGGCCCCGAAGTCTCTCACGGTAACATAAAGTCATCAAACGTCCTCCTAACCAAATCATATGAACCGAAAATATCAGATTTTGGCATATCCGATGTTGTTGGACCATCATCATCCTTTCCGGTACGAGCTGCCGGTTATCAGGCACCCGAAGTGACTGACCCAAGAAGGGTCTCTCAAAAGGCTGATGTATATAGCTTTGGGATATTGCTTCTTGAGCTTCTAACGGGCAAAGCTCCAAAAAACACTCTCTTGAATGAAGAAGAGGAAGGGGTTGACCTACCAAGATGGGTTCAGTCAGTGGATAAGGACTTCTTGAAGGAGTGGACGTCTGAAGTTTTTGATGTTGAACTTCTTAGGTCACAGAATGTTGAGGAGAAGGACATGGTGGGGCTGTTGCAACTCGGCATTGATTGTGCGGGTCAACACCCCAAGAATAGACCGTCAGTGACAGAGGTTGTGATCCGGATTGGAGAGATTTGTGGTTCAAGCTTGACAAATAGAAAACAGTCTGAAGTTGTCATTGAAACTGAGTAATGGTATCTCCCACCCCATTCAGTGTCACTCTTGTATGAGTGACAGGAACTCGCAACCAACAAATTGCTCAAATGACAAGAAGTTATTATTCTTGACTTTATCATCCATTAGAATTAACAGTCAACCCCCCTCTCCCTCCAATTCCTATTTTTTTTTTGTCTCTCTCCCTCTGTGAGTGTGTTTTGTGATTCTTGATTGTATGATTCTATCATTTTCTGTTGATTTTTTTCAGGTGGTGGGGATAGTTGGGGTAGGGTCCAATATTAAATTTCTTATAGAGACATAGAGTAGATATGGCGCCTGCTATAATTCTTTGTCAGCATAGCTATTACTTTTGCTTTTTTGTTATGGTTTTGTGTTTGGATGCGTGGGTGACAAGACTGTGTGATGTTCTCTCTTTATCGTAGGTGAAATTGAATGGGGAAAACCTTATTCACTCCTTGTGTTGTCGCCGCAAGCATCATCCAAACCATTCGGGTCCCATATAGGGATGGAGTCGGGCCGGGCTGGGTCTCGGGCCGGGCTGGGTCTCGGGCCGGGCCTGACTGGGATTTTTTTGGAGAATTGAGGCCTGGAATTGGCTCGGGTTCCTACCGGGTCTGGTTCGGGCCGGGCTACCCGGCCGGGTAGCGGGTTGTGAAATTGATATTTTTTTTTTGTTTACAAATTAATCAAGAATTGTTGGATATAAAAAGTTAAAGTATATTTATTTGAAATATGTAGTACAATTGATAATTGAGAAAAATTTTAAGGGAAAAGGGGCAAATAAGCCCTCGAACTAACCGAAAAACTTCAAATCACCTCTTTTGTAGGAGATTCTGTCCGGCCGATTCCATTTGAGGTGGTTCGCGATGGAATTAGTTGATTAAAATTTTTGAGCATCTTCTTCGTTAAGTCTAGTTTACCCATACAAAATTTCAGCTAAAAATTCAATCATTAAGGCAGTCAAATAAATGTTTGAAGATAATTGCGCAGTTAAACAACACAGTATATTTTAGAAAATCATTTGATTGCCTTCCCGGTTGAATTTTTACTTGAAATATGGTATGAATAGGGGTGATTTATACTTTTTCGGTTACTTCAAGGGCTCATTTGCACCTTTTCACAAATTTAAAACATAAAATACATTTTCTAATAAATCATAATCAATCAGAATCTCCGCCATCTTCGGTTGTTTCCTCCATAAAGTGGTTGGGTGAGGGGATGCACACTTCTTGAGTTTTACGTTGCGCCTTCAACCAATCGTGGAAGCAAACAAGCGCCTCAAGAGAGTTCGCGCTCAATCTTGTTCTATAATCCGTTAGCACGTTGCCAGTCGCACTAAATTCTTGTTCCACGGCAACTGTTGATACCGGCATTGCTAGCACTTTCTTAGTCATCTTTGATAAAATCAGGAACGTTCTTTCTTTTTCCTTGAACCATTTTAGATACAAAGAAAGCTCGTTAATCGAGATTTGATACATTTTGACGTTTCTTGGTCAATGATAATTAAGTTTGACCAATGATATCTTTTAATACAAAATTATTTACAATACGAAAATTTTATAAACATATTCTTTATTAAAAAATCTTACATAAAAGTATAAAATTTATAAATTACAAACAAATATAATACCTAAAATCATTGTCTAAACTTTACCATCATTGACCAAGAAAAGTCAAAATGTATCAATCTTTTTGGGACGGAGGTAGTACTTTTTTCATAAGATTGCCAAATACAGATTTAAAAAGGTGATTTTCCTTTAGATGAAGAAGATGTTCGTGTCGGGGGAGGGAGTGCGTTACCATATTGTGCATGAAACTTATTAAATAATTGATATAATAAATTACAAACCTCTTGATATTCTTGTTTAGGGTCTATGAGCTTATCCTCATACATAGGAAATTGACCAAAAAAGAAGCATAATAGTAATCAAAACATTGCCCCAAAGAATCAAGTCTATAACGAGGATCAAGAATAAATGCAATATCATATATATGCGGAATATGTGAACAAAAATAACTAACGTAAGGGGCATCAGAAAAGTCACAAAAAGCGCCGGCGAGATTAACATCTTCAACAAAAAATTAGTTTGCTGTAGGTGTATAAACATGACTAAAAGTTTGAGTTGCATTATTAAAAAACACCAAAACATTCACAATTTTTTCCATAGTGTCGATGTCGGCCGGGTTTATAATATAGTTAGCATATTCTTTAAAAAAAAAGGAAAATGGTCTTTAAATCTAATAAGTACAACAACTAAGTTATAAGTACTATTACAATGAATAGATAAATCTTTAGGAAAAACACAATATTTGACACGTCTATCCCTCAAATATTGACGTCATTGCATTTTTAATGGATTACTAGCCCAAATAAGTCTAATCCCCCCCCCCCCCCCCCTCACTACCTCCATAGCATCTCCCAACGCGGCTAGCCCGTCTTTTACACATAAATTTAAAATATGACATGAACAACGCTGATGAAAAAATCTACCCATCAAAGTAGAAGAACCACACAATTCACGCAATCTAGGTATAGCAGCAGTATTATTACTAGCATTATCAAAACTCATAGCAAACACCTTATCAATCAAATTGTACTTAATTAAAATACGCTCAAGCAGAATATAAATATTATCAGCGGTGTGTCGATCATTAAATTCACGAAAAGCAAGAACACGTTTATGCATTTCCCAATCACCATCAAAGTTTGCGAAAAATATTTGTAATTTTTCCTTTTCCAAAACATATTGCCTTATAACTTTTTTTTAATCATTTTGCGACTATAGTTTCGAAATTGAGGATTTTAAATACCTTGAGCATATTCTTTTAAAGCAAGACTTTTAGGAAAAAAAGACAAATTTTCTTCAACAATTAAGTGAGACATATCAGTCAAATATATTTGATCATCATAGGAGAAATTACCAAAGGGTTGGCCAGTTCCAAACCTCGTTATTTGAGTTTGCTTCCCCTTGCTTTTGTCTATTTTCGCATACTCCACGAGGTGAGCGGACTGAAGATGCCTTTTGCAACTGCCGTATTCTCCGGAAATTCCCAAGCTATACACTTTAGGACAATATTTGCAATGTTCGTACCATTTTTCGGTTTTCTTGTCTTTCACCTTTTCAAAATTATATTCAATAATTGGTGATTTACGTACCTTTCTTAGTGGGTTGGGATGAACCACCCTCGTCCTTGGCCTCGACCTCTTCCTCATCATCCGGGGTGCTGTGACCCTCGCCCGTCACCGGATACTCCTTCTCCGCATCATCATTCTCGAGCTCATCTTCAACCTCAGGGACATCATGTTGTTGGTTAAAGCGCCAATGTTGTTGGTTCAATAGTTGGGCTACTTGCTCGTCGGTCATAAAATCTGTATCTCTCCATTGGTAATCCGTATCAAAATCATCTCGACTTTGAGAAGAAGACCCGGCCCGCCCTTTACCTTTGCGTGAACTAGGATGATTCCTCGCAATCTCCTTCTTTCGGTTGCGGTTGAGGTTACCCATATCTACAGAAGCTCTACCACGTTTCATCTTAAAAATGTAACAAATATTAAATTCTAACAAATATGTTAATATTAGTACAATAGTAATGCAACTAATAAGAAATGTTATAAATTTTATTTTTTATTTAAACCTATTTTATTAAATACTATTTTTTAAATCTAACAAGTTTTTTAATGAAAAAAAAACTAACTATTTTTTTTAATTCGAACTAGTTTTTTTAATAACTAGTTTTTGTTAATGAAATGTTAATGAAACAAATCTAACTATTTTTTTTGTTATAAAATTCGAATGTAATTGGAAGTAAAATTCAAACAATGTTTTTAAATCTAATGAGTTTAATGAAAAAATTCGAACTTTTTTTTTAAATAAAAATGCAACTACTTTTGTTTAAATGAATAAATTGGAAGTAAAAAATCTAACTAGTTAACTAATTTTTGTCTAACAAGTATGACTTTAATTAAATGGAAAATGAGAAATGTAGCAACTAACAATTGACTTCTTTTATACTTTAATGACAAATATACCAATGAACTAATAGGAAAATGAGAAATGTACCAATTAACTAATATTAATAAAAAAAATGTATGAATGTGTAAACTAAATTAATGGGAGTGTGAGTGTATAAGTAATAGGATGAATTTAATTACTCTTAATTAAAGCGTAACTAATATATAATATATTGTTTATAGTATATAATATATGTGTATATATATATATATATATATATATATATGTGTGTGTGTGTGTGTGTGTGTGTGTGTGTGTGTGTATACTTAATATATGTATTTATAAGTAGATAATAAGTTATAAGTATATAAGTATACATGATAATTGTTTAACTAATATATAATATAATGTTTATAGTATATAATATATAAGTATATTAATATAAGATGAGTACTGCACTTATATTTAATACTTTAATATATATAAGTATATATTAAGTAGATGTAATATGTAAATATACGTAGATAATAAAGAGATGTTAAGTAGATATGAAGTATATATTAAGTAGATATAATAATTGTATAAATATATGTAGAGAGAATTGGAGAAGATGAAGATGGAGATGATTAAGAATATTAGAGAATAGAGAGTAGGAAGAGTTGGAGAAGATGTGTAGAAAATTGTTTAGAAAATAGGAGTATTTATAGTTTTTTTACCCCATCCCCACCCCCCTCCAGGCCCTCCAACGGCTATAGAGCCGTTTGGGAATGTTCCCAACGGCTAGGAGGAGCCTCCTTAGTTTAATTTTTTTTAATAATGTGACCGTTGAGGCCGGGCCGGTTCGCTTTTTAGGGACCCGGAGCCCGCCCCGGGAATAGCCGGTTTGGGTATATGACACCCAGCCCGTACCCGGCCGGGCGGGTCGGGCCGGTTCAAAATCCAAGTGGGCCGGGCCGTTTCCGGCCCGAGTCCATCCCTAGTCCCATAGGGCCATTATTTATTTCAGTTTTTTTTACATGTATAGGACTAACAGTACTTTTATGTGCACAAATAGGACTCTAAACGTGAGTCATGTTTCGTAGGACTAAAAAGAACATGATTTCCCTTTTTTAGCCTCCACATAAAGTTAGTTGTTTATTAACGTGAGGGAAGTTTTTCAAAAAATTCAGCAGGCATCGTGAGAAGAAAGAGGGCGAAAACATAGGGAAACGAGGTGAGGCAAATAATATGGAAAATTTTTCTGGCGCAAGGCTCGACAATCAAGTTTCAAAGCCAACTACCCAAGTAACTCTAGCCAGTTACGCCATTGCGA